TTTCTTGAAGATACTGTCCTGCATTTACTAATCCTATACTATCTGCTTGTTTACTGCCATAGAACCCTTTTGCAAAGACAGTTGTGACAAATAGATTGATCATGAAGGAGACAAGAAGAGCAACTGAGGACTCAATTGCATAGTAATTAATGGCCTCCTGGACCTGACCTTTCTTTTTAGGGTCAATCTTCCTTGACTGCACCAAAGCAGAGTGCAGAAAAACATTATGAGGCATTATTACACAACCCACAACTCCCACAGCTTGTCGAATTGTTCTTGAGCTGAGCTTTGGAACCAAGAGACCTGTAGAGATTACAGACAGACATGATTAGTAATCCATACAGATGCCTTTTTTAATTTTCCTTTCAGTTCCTCTCTTTCCATATTTCCTCTTGTTGGGGAGGAGAAAAGGTTATATTTAGGTAATATATCCCATCATTTTCTTTACAAGTGTGCACAGAATAATAAAGTGACTAACCTATTAGAAGCTCCTTTCCACTGGGTTTAGTGTCAGCAAACATCCAAGCAAACGAAAGTGCCATTGTTGAAATAAGAACAGCAAAAACAGCTTCCAACTTCCTCACTCCATAGTTTTCAAGAAGTAAAAACATAAAACTGTATAACAAGTCAACAAAATCAACTTTAGTAATCAAATTGAAACTCCCATGAAATAGAATGCATACTGGTACACATACAAGCATCACACATGCACAATACAGAGAGTATAATATTGAAATTCCTTTTGGTGGTTCATGGGTAGGGAGCTTGAGAAGAGCAAAGTGTCCACCATCGAGCACACTCAGCCCATCATGTTAGCCAGCTCATGCTCACATATGGGGTGAGCTGAGCGCGAGCTGGCTCGTTTCAAAAAAATCCCAACTCAGTTCGCCTCACCAACTCGCCCCTTAGTAGGCTCGCAGCTCGCCAATTTATTTTTTTAACTAAAAATTATATTTTCACTCACCCATTATGAGCTGGCTCACAAGACACTTAACACAATATGGGATAATGGAAGATTAATAATGAATTTCATATTATGTTGTATTTTCAATTGTTTATTTGGATGAGTAATCTAGGATTCTCTTTCAGAAATATAGTGATTAGACAATCCCAAGGGGTGCTGGGATAGTTTATCGAGCAATCGGAATAAGCTGCGAAGATATATCTTACTTTATATGTCCTCCCTCCATCCCCTCTCAACATACATGTCTACCTACACTTTTACAGGCCTCCACAATCCCATTCCCACAACCTGTACCTCCATCTTCACCTCCATCCTTTCACTGCCACCCCCTTGCCCCATCTTCAGCCTTCAAATTCACCACCATCCACCACTCACTTTCCCAATTTCCATCACCATAGGATCCTAACCATGCAACATCAACACAGCTCAGGTAACCCTTCTCCACCCTCCTCAAAACCCAGGCCCACGACTTCTCTAACCTTGCCCCTTCAACCCAACACCAATCGAGAACTCGTCTCATACCAATAACGAGATTGTCTTAGTTTAGAAAAGTGCAGAGAGGGGTCCCTTTTAGATGTAAGTCTGTGCAAATCTAGACCCTTATTCATTGCTTTATTTCGATTTGTCAACTTCTGGTTAAAAAGTGGATGAATAAGTTGGAGAAGAAGATGCAAAAATAATATTTTACCATGTTCAGTCCCATGGTTAATTTTAAGAAACCAAAAATAAGATTGGCTTATCATGGAACAGGACCAAGTACGACATAAGTGGTATCCTAGTATGATAACACCCAAATGCAATCAAAAAAGAAAGTCCACGTTCAGATACATGGGAAAACAGTCTTTTTCTCACGCAACTAGCAGTATGTGACAAAAATATAGCAACTCCCACCACAAAAAGTGCCTTTAATGCCAAACTAATATCATCTTCCACCAACAAGTAATGGTACCAACTTTCACCTACTATATATAACTATATATATTTACACACACACTACCAAAGTGATGTTAACTTCCACCAAAAATAAAAAGTACAACTCGGAGTGACATGCAGAGTGTAACTCACAATCAAAAAAACACACGTAATAATTTCTTGTTAATCGAGAATTAAACTAAACCTACACTGAAGAAATTAACGGAAATGAATTTGAGTCTAGGAGAGGAAAAACCCCGGATTTCGAATTTTAAGAACATCCATAGTACTGCCTTAATTCCCAGATTTTCCCCATGAGTATGTAAAAGAAAAACTATGATTATTGAATATAGTATCAAGCTTCAAAACACTTTAAAATGAACTTTCTCAATCTCTGGTTTTCTAATTAGTTCCAGGTGAAAAAAATATAGTCCTCATGGTAGTATTTTTCCCCGCTTTTCTTTTCAAAATTTCTTATCTAAAAATGATAAATAAAATCCAAAAAAAAAATAAAGATACAAGGAACATACCAATCAGAGGCAGTAATCAACACCCCAGCCCAAAGGGGGATCATCCCACAGCTCAAAATCTGGATAGCAATTGCACTGCCAATAACTTCTTGAATATCTGCCCCAATCAAAGCCAGCTCCGCCATGAACCAAAGCAAAAGCCGTGCCCAATCAGGGTACTCCTCGCGGCACAGCTCGGACAAGTGCCGGCCGGTTGCCACACCCACTCTCACTGACAGAAGCTGGATCAATAGACCCATCGCTGTTGCCCACATCAATAACCAAAGTAACGAATAGCCGGCAATTGCTCCCGCCTGCAGATCCCCCTCCAAATTACCAGGATCCAAGAACGCAATACTCATCAAAAAACCGGGACCCGTAAATAACCACAATTTCTTAAACGAAAACGGTGGCGCACTGCTAAAATCTGTGGAGCTGGTGGAATCCAATTCGAAATCAAGAATCAAAATCTTTTCCCCGGATTCATACGCAACTTCTTCTTCATCTTCTTGTTCTGTTTTTACGATATTTTCAGTTGAACGGAGTGGTGAGGGTAATAGACGATGAGATTCATTTACTTGTTCCGGTTCTTGCGCTTCTAATACTTGGACTTTGGGGGAATTTGAGGGTGTATTGTCTTGTTCTTGAGGCGGGTTCATTGTATAATTCGAATTTCCATTTCCGTTTCCCATGAGATGGGGTTTAGGTTGGGGAAGGGAGGTATGCGGTGTATGGTGGTGGCTACAGGCCAAGATGACGGTGGAGAATCTGGCTGCTCGCTGGATGGAATTTATAGATTAGCTATACGGAGAAGTATGGTCTCCACGCGGATTCCATATATTGGTACGGTTGGCAATAGTTTGTTGCCATGTAAGAATTTGTTGAGTCTCACCGCTGGTAATGCTATTTGCAATCGTTTGCTATCATAACTGTTCTACGTGACATATAAATTGCAGTTAGTAATTTGATGTATTAATGTGATAATTTTTTACGTCATATATCAAATGATTAATCGTCACATATATCATGTAAAACAATTACGATGATGAGCGACTACAAATAATATATTTGTTAAGCATGCTTGGTTTAAGCTTAAAAAAGAAATTTTTTTTTTTTTCTTTCTTTTTTTAGTTTACTCATAATTTTTTTTCCCTAATTGGTCAAATTTTCAATAAGTAATAAATTCGTTTGTCAAATCTCATGGTCATTATTCATAGAACGTGATTTTATAGTGTTTGATCTACATTATTTTGGAAGAATATATTCTGACATAGTAGATTGATGGAGAATTCGTGATTGAAAAAGAAGGAAAAGTTATTGATGTGATGGAAAATATTATTTTATTGAAGAATGTGTGGTTGAAAATGAGTAGAAAAATGAGAATGAAAATTTTAATGTGTAACAAACAGGGGCTAAAGCTTTTTTCATGTCACTTCGAGCTATCTTCTAATCAGTAATATATTATTTGATAAAATATCATGTTTGACATGATATAATTTTGCCCTACATAATTAAATCATTTTACGTTTTTAATAAAACTCGTCATGTATTGTGTAACATTTCATTTTTGCTGGGTGGTTCCATATTTGAAATGTTGTACTATAAATAGTCTAAATTTTAATAGCTACAATTTTTAATTGGTAGCATTGTTAAGGATGCTTAAAGTTCCATATGAGTTGCACCATATGGGTTGAAATAGATATGTATACATGCGATCTAATTTATCGAAAATAAAAGTGATTTACTTTTAAAAGATAAAATATTAGCCTACACGATGTGGAACTCACTTTTATTATCTCATAATATGCCCCTAACAAGTGTATACGAGTAAAATAAGTATTTAAATTAACTATAAGAGTGAGATAAATTGCAAGAACTCTTTCACAAACTTAGGCCGTGTTTGATAGGCCACATTTTTCGGGGAAGTAGGAAAATATTTTCCACTTTTCACTTTTTTGATTGTTTGATAGGCGAA